CTTTGATGCCAAGTCATATATACGCTGATGGCCGTAACACGCAGACCTCCCCAAACAATATGTGTTTTGGCATTTCCTCGATTTCTACATACCAAGCATCCCATAATATGGAAATGAGCCACGCTCCCCCAAACTCAGAAGTCCCCACGAGGAAGCTGTTCACGCAGGAGTGAATTCACAAGCAGGTGGCGCACTGGATACAGCTTAGAGAACGGGGCAGGAAGGCCTTACGAGGGGAAAGAGAAAAACCATGGGCACCGGCGCTCAGCTCCTCCTGTCCCAACCCCGCCCTGCTCCTCACCAACTGCAGAGAGCGGGGTAAGGCCCACGGCCTCTCCACACCTCAAGTGTTCTATGAAATGATAATAACGCCAATCTTATCACGGGATTATTATGAGAACGACTCAAGGGGATAAAGTGTGACGGCACGTGGCCTGACACGAAGCACACAACACGCGTGAATCGGTGTCAGCTTGTAGAAGCGGCAGTCACAGGAAGACAGTCAAGCCAGTGGACCTTACTGAATGCCACCAAAGAGAAGATTAATGTTTTTAAGATGCTTGTAGCCTAAGGATGAGGTAGCAAATACCACACCAATCCCTTTAAGAAAACATGACATATAAAAACCTGTACTTACACAGATAAATACCGTGAATAGCACGCCTTGAAGGAGCCTTTGTTTTATAGGTTCTCCAGTCATTCCCTTTCCTAGTAAACACTGATGCATTTAAATCATGATTAGAGTTACAATAATGGGTTTAAAATATTATCGGAATGAATCTATCACTTAAAGCTATTTGCCATTTGGAGCTGGCAAAAACAATTTAGTGGGTCAAAATCATCATCCTTTTTTTAATGAAATAGAATAGAACAGAAAACAGTTCGCTGTGTAGCACGTGGCATCAGAGTACTACTCTGTGGACGCACACACGCAAGTGCACAAACATGCACACACGCAGGCGCACACACGTGCACGTATGTACACAGAGTACGTGTCTGTGTGCTGAGCACCAGGCTGCAACGTGATGTTTACTTCTCACTGTGGCTCACGGTCAAGAAGAACAAACGCCACCGACTTATTAACTCAAGGCCGAGACCTGTGGTGGCGACAGAGAAAAACAACGATCTCCCCCTGAAGTGAAAACACACACACATCAGCCGGCTTTTCCACAGTCACCTGGACGACGCCGCGTCCCAGTCCTGGCCGTCCCCTCTGGGTCGCTGGCCTGTGCGTCCAACCACAGAAGGCCGGGGGCTGCTGCTCCCTGGAGAAGGGTTCTGAGAGGGATGAGTAACTCTCGCTTCATGACAATAAGACAAAGAAGAATTCTGGGAAACTGTGTCTGCAGAGAAAAAAGAAAAAAATTATCCCTTAGTAGAAACGGATTACTCATTATGTAGTATTTCTAACAAAATTAAGATAGCAGAAACGCCTCTGTAGGAATAAAAACAAAAGTAAAGGTCGACCTCTTCTGAAAGTACTCACTCCGCACGCTGAAGCTTCCATCTAACGAACCTCATTAACAAACCTCCCCTCAGCACTGCCACCCGCAACATTACAGACGCCAAGGCAGACGCCAGGTCACGCACACCCCTGCTTAGACGCGCCAAGAAACCCAACCTCAAACCACCTACAAAAACTAACTCCAGGTGGGTCGACAACCTAAATACGAGGTAAAATCATGGAGCTCTTAGAAGAAAATACAGGGGTAAATCTTCACGACCTTGGATTTGGCAATGGAGTTTTAGATGTGACACCAAAAGCACAAACGACCAAAGAAAACATAGGTAAATTGGACTTCGTCAAAATTAAAAACTTCCGTCCATCAAAGAATATATATTATCAAGAAAGTGAAAACCTATAGAATGAAAGAAAGTGTTTGCAAGTCATATATATCCAGGCCACATAAAGAAGTCCTAAAACTCAACGGAACCCAATTTAAAATGGGTGAAGGACCCTATAACAGACATTTCTGCAAAGAAGGTACAAGAATGGCCAATAAGCACATGGGAAGCCACTCGGGGAAAACAGCCACCCATCAGCAGTCATCAGGGAAGCACGAATGGAAACCGCGATGACGTGTCCCTTCGCGCCTCTAGGATGACCAGGGTTAGCGGAAGGAAAAGAGCAAGTGTCAGCAAGGCTGTGGGGAAGTTCGGAGCCTCACGCCATGCTGGTGGGGACGCAAAGTGGTGAGCCACTGAGAACGGTATGGCCGCCCTCAGAAAGCTAGACAGAGAACTAACCAGAGACCGAGCGGTCGCACCCTTAGGTACAGACCCGAAAGGCTGAAACCAGGGGCTTGGACGGATGGGTCTGCTCACAATAACCGAAAGGTGGGAACGACGTAGCTCCAACACATGAACGGATAAACAACATGCAGTCTGTACGTACCACGGCACGTCATTCACCCACCAAAAGGAAGGAAGGCTGCCACACGCGACGGCACGGACAAACCTTGAAACCATTCCACTAAGTGACGTAAGCCGGACACAAAAGGACAAATGTTGTATGATTCCACCTGTATGAGGTACGCTAGTAACGCAAAGCATACGTATCCAAATAACACAAGGTAAGTGAGACTCTCGACAAAATGGGGACTAACTGTGAAGCATGATCACGAACGGTCACTGTCATTTAACAGTGCCTAAGCGCACAGAAATCCTAAATTGTCCGCAGTTTTGACTAGTACTCTACTTGGCCATTAGGTGGTGCTTTTTCCCTGCAAAGTCGGGAACTACGATCACGTAATACTCTGACTATATCACAAGTTGCGTAGTTTCCATAAAATACAAATCGGTATTTTTCAACCCAAACAATTAACACAACATATAAGCTGCTGAAATACCCAAAGTCCCACATGAATAGCTGGACTCTGAATCCTAGTCCCTAACTTCCAACACCTCTCCGCACGGAAGTGAAAGAAATGCCCTGCAAATGTTCCTCATCAAAGAAAGAGAGAGAGAGAGAATGGACTGGCTCAGGAATGACTGTCATTCAGTTTGTTTTCAAAGGTGATCATTTAAGGAATGGGGAGTCTACCCTGCGAAACTTTAGATCAGTACGCCCTAACGGAAAGTGTAATGGGGTTCTCGGAAGCATCTGCAAACACCGCCCGTGACTAACACGTAAATACACATAAGTACCTTGTTTACTAGAGAAGAAACCTGGATCTCGGTGAAAGTTAAGTCTGTTCCTTAAACACACGCTCAGCTGCTGCAAGCAGGACAGCGACTGAAGTGCCAGACGGTGCTCGGCGTCCCCCGCGAAGGCCGGTTTCAGCAGAGAGAAAAGGCTCTGAAGGGAAGAGCAATGAAAACGATCAAGGGGGCAAAGATCACTGAGGTCAAATGAGCCATCGAGGAAATAAGTGGCCAAATTTTACAAACCATAAGAAACAGAAATGGGCAAAAATGTTTTAGCATAATGCAAGATGGTTCGTCAAAATAAGATAAAATTTAAATAGAGTCAGCGGTGCCTCAATCTAAAACCTGTTAGGTGACACCAATTCTGAGAGGACACGGGAATTGTTCCCCACTCGGGATGTTACGTTTCACAGGCCTTTTTCAAAATCACATTAAGGCTTCTGCATCGCAAACAGCCAAATCATTCTGCCACGTCTGCTGATGCACAGCTCCTCCTCTGCCATCACTGGCAGCGGGGACACGACGGGTTAAGAGGTGGCAGGCCGTGACAGACCTCTCAGCCCTGGGACGGAGAGCGAGGGTGCTGGGCACTACCAGGTGTGCCACAGCCCACCTGTGCAGGGGCCGCAACCCCCAGCCTGGGCCCCGAGGTGTCCACCGTGCGAGCGGCACCGGACCACAGAGGACCTGTCTCCACTGCTCGCCACTGCCACATTCCCACGGCGCAGAGCGCTGCGCCTCGTACACACTGCACTCGCAAAGGGAGATGTCACTCTGAATGGCAAGAGGGTCACCACTGCCCGGCCTCGGTTTCCCCAGCCTTGATTGCCTTCAGGGGACTCAGATGGCAAATCAGGGCGGTCCACCTGGACTGCGTGTGTCAAAGGGGCCCACCTCCCGTCAGAAGAACCAGCGCTACCCAAAAAAGTCAGAGGGTAAGGGGTCTAGACGAATACTTCATTCTTCAAACACAGTCGTGCGCACTTCCTGCCTAAGGACCGCGGCGTTGCAAAATTTTCAGGGCTACGAGTTCTGTATTTCAAAATCCAAATCAATCCCCGCAGACGCTCACCTGAACGACTTTGGGCCTCTGAAGGAAAATCTCGGCGGGAAAGTCCTGCATGATGACGGCCTTCAACAGCTCGCAGGTGTTCCAGATCAGAGTGTGGTTGCTGCTGCGGAGCGAGCTGCAAACACAGGGTTCTTTATTCGCAGAGTTTCCGTGTGCCAGGTCCTGACAACCTAGTGGCCTGACTCGTTCACACCTTCACCTCTCAGCTGACACGTCCCTTCCCCGGGGAGGCCCTCCTGGACCTTGGCCTGATCAGTGAACAGCCCTGGGGTAGGCGCTTCTTCCACAGGCCCATGCTGTATTCAGCACTACGGGAACCGCGTGTGACTTTGTGCCCCCACTAGACCCTCGAGAGCAGGGACTACACGGTCGCCCAGGGACTATCACAATGATACAAAATGACGTTAATGAGACCAAAGGGCACAGGATTCAATGAAATCAGCCAAATGAATTAAGACAGTAAAAAATAAAAGTATAGAGGTAAATTCTAGTAATTAAGATTCCTTACTGCTCTTCCTTATTCCAGGTGAATCAAGCTGGGGCTCCCCCCTTACCCCATACAGAGGACACCCCACAAATTCTCAGACAATATCTACCCTCCTAGGGATGTAGGAGTTGTTTGCCCCCACCCCGCTGCCACCACAAGAAACAAAAGCCCAGCTCCAGCCCACCACCCACAGGTGTGCCCTAGAGACCGTCTCCCCCCCTTAGGGACCGACGGGGCCTGACCGACCACTCCCGTCCTGCCCCTTTCCCACGCGCACGTGGCCTCTTCAATATGTTGTTTCTGAGGCCTAGAAGTGTCATCATCAAAAGTCACTTAATAGCAACCTCCTGTCTCAGGCCCTAACTCTAGCAAGTTGGTCTTTATTTTCCAGATTCTCACCAAAAAAAAAAAAAAAAAAGACAACTCAATTGATGAGGCATTCACAGAAATTAGTTTCAGCAAAAAAGGAAACTAGACATCAACACACCCTCCAAACGTCTACATATCAGCTCTCTACTTGTGGGGTAATGACCAATGTCCACCCATTACATATGAGTGGTCCCCAACCTTATCACAGAGCCTACGTTTTCAAATATATTGTCTACCAAAAATACTGCATTTATGTTTAATTTTTCCATTTTTATTAAGCAAAGACATAGCAATGGCCAATCAGAGAATGTGGTCAAGAAGAGATGACTCATGTCACCAAGGAGCACACAAGATTCCAACCACAAAAAAGAAACTCAATGTGTGGCCTGATTATGGGCAAACAGAAATTTGCTGGCTTGCTTTCTGAAATACTGAGAATCGCTCATATATTCCCATTACTACCTTGCACAGCCTCTTTGTATCTTTTTGACTTGTGACAATGTGCAGAATTAACAACCAAATTTAATGGCTATAAATGAATCAAAATGCCTGAAATACATCAGGCATTGTACCTTTCATTAGAGGACAGGACATGTCTGTCAGTTGTGGTCAGGGGCAGCCAAGGAAATGTAGAAAACTTCAAACACTTCACAGTCTGATTCACTGTAAATGGAAGAGCAGAACTTAACCATCAAAGAAGACAATGATGACAGATTCACAACGTGGAGTAAAGCGTCACCTTTAAAACAAGTCACCAAATAAAGCCACATTTTACACTAACGTGAAACACACCAGACAAGGTCAACTGCAAGCCCACCCTTTCACGGGAAGAACAGCTGTCTCTTCTCAAGCAAGACTTACACGTTATTGTCAGAAGAGCATTCAACACAAACCTGGATCGAATGACATTTTCCATTTTACTGGCTGATCAGAACATAGAGCTTAAATTCAACATAAAAGCAACTGCATTTGAGATAACTTTAATTGTAGAAATTAAAAACGACATAAACATGATCATATGCTATATTTAGTCATGTTCAAATATCCTCAATGGTGTCAGGTGTTTAAAGCTCTTTGCAGATGACAGATCAACTATCAGTGTGCAAAGAAGATTAAAAGAAATCTGAGAAACCAACACAATTTTAAACTAATGCTGTTCAAATTAGTTTTAACAGGCCCCCCCGCCCCAGGCTTATTGAGGTATAACGGACATAGAACATCGTATAAGCGTGAGCCGTACAACGTGATAACTTTCATGCACTTATATACTCCACATGGCGATCAAATAGGCAGCATCTTCACCCTCTCACACGACTGCCAACTTTTTCTTGTGGTGAGAACATTAAGATCTATTCTCTTAGTATTTTAACAGATCTTATATTGAACAAGTTAAGGTGGTAACAATGAGAAATCTACATAAGCCCTTCCAAATGACAAAGTCTTTCTGCCAAATGCTTTGAAAAGAGCATGGAATCGTTTAATTCAAATACCAGTATTATTAATTTCCCAAATAAAGCACAGTTGCTTCTTTTGAAAATGCTAAAACAGGGTTTCCTTTCTCAGGGCAAAGCAAAAGGCATGTACTGTACATTACAGTACAGAAAACTGTGTCCAGAGTAAGCCACACCATCAATCCACGGGCTGCAACTCACACAAAGAAGCATGACCATCTCAAGTGTCCTATTGTTTTCCACAGCTTCACTCAAATACCCCTGTTCCCAGCCCTGGAGATACCTGCTCCCTTCACAGGCCTCTCAGAGGCACTCGAGGAAGCCTCCCAGGCACAAGCACAAAGAACTACCGCCCCCAAACCAAAGCTCCCTAAAGCCTAGCGAAACTTTTCCAGAAAGGAAAGGTAAAGTATTTTAATAGCTAAACAAGTTTTCTGTTCTTTCTTATGTTGTAATTCAACCTGAGAGTTTCTACAGAACTTTCTAATACCAGAGGGCTTCCAACTGGGTTGAGTTGAATCCCTGGCATCAGCAAATACATTGCTGAACACGACCTCTTCAATTCAACTTCGCAGGCGATAAAGTGTGAAGTCCACGCTTACTTAATCTTATCTT